AGTGTCCAAAACATCGGGGGAAAACCCTAACCAATTCGTCGAGTTCCATCAGCTCCTCTCATTCAGACGCTTTTAAGCAAGACTAAGGCCCCAAACTTTAGATCTAGCCTTCTAGGGTTGAGATACCATGTAAAGCTGCAAGCTTTACGTCCGTGCATGACATTTAGGGGCTAACTTTGCCAAATCAAGGCTCAACAAGGAGTTTAAGGCATGAAGATTGGCCAAAGCTTGATAAAGCTTGAGTCTTTAGGCCTAAAGGGCCTAATAGTGTCCATATCTGAAGTGTTAACCTTAAAGCATGCTCAAAACCAATAATGACTCAAGAAGAAGCTAAAAATAGCCATAAACTCTCTAATGGAGAGATCTAATAAACAAGTGATCAAGGTAATGGCTTTTTACCTTTAAATGGTTGCTACAACTGAATAGATGCCAGATCTATAGACTCCTTCTTGTTCCAAGCTCTTCACTCTTCAAGGAATGCATCAGAACACACACTCTTATCCTTAACATACTCTCAAGATGAAAGTAACTCGATTTGGGTTTGTCTCTGGGTGATAAGGTGATGAGGTAGGCGGAGTAAAGTACTTAAGGTCCTTTAAACAGGGTGCAAACCCTAAAAATTAGGGTTTTCTCACTCAACTCCAACTCGTCAAGTTGAGTCCACCAACTTGTCGAGTTAGTTCTAAAATCACGCGACCAATCTCAATCTCTACTCGACGAGTTGAGGCCTCCAACTCATCAAGTTACCCTATCAGTATGAATATAGTAGACATTTAAATGTATACTTGAGAGTTGGGATGTTACAGAAATAGGTTTGCAAACGAAACGGATCTAAAAAATGAAACTGGTTTAGGTGAAACCGGATATGTATGAAACCTATATGTCGGTTTGGACCGGTTTGAGAAAGTTACACTTGAAAACAGTTTAGGTGAAACCAATTAAAAAAATCGGTTTAGAAACCAATTTCCAAACTTATAAAAAAAACTGATTTTCGTATAGTGGAAATATATTGTTTTCATACATTATTTCATTTATTTGTTGTTATACAATATTTTAGAGGTTTCTCTAGACCAACGTTTTAGAGGTTTCTCAATACAATTTTCAACTTTTGTACTATCCCGGATGCCTAAAAAATACTTTTATAAAAACTCAAAGTTGAAAAATACCACTTAAACCCCCTAAAAAAATCTTGAATGCCCAACGAAACAATTAGAAACCTGAAGATTTGGTGTAACTATGATTTATGTATAATGTTGAGCGGATCAAATAAAACGTGATGCAAGAAATGTGGTGCTTTTTTTAAAAAAGAAGATAATTAAACATTGAAACTCATATGAACAAGGGATGCCCGTCCGAGAAATTTGGGCTCAGACATAATCAAACAATGACGAAAGGTACTATATTGTGGAATTACGAAACAACTAAAGTTCAGGATAGTCCAATGCATATATGCCTACTGTTTCTTTTCTTTTCGTTTTTAAATTATAAATAGACAATTTTGAAGTAAATAACCAAAACAAAAATTAATCTAGCGGATCTATCATCCATACTAACCAAAAACATAAGCCAAACGAAGAATAGGCCAATGCGGCGGTTTTTAACCGGTTTTGTCCGAACCAAACCGGTTTGCAAAGGTTCGTATATTGTTATTGAAGAATCAGTTTAGCCTTTAGTTGGTGTTAACTTTTTTGACTTGAACCGAACCAGTTTAGGGGAAAAACGGTTTGTGCAATTCTATCTATACAGTTCTACGAGCAACTACTAAAATATTGTTTGCAATTTTTTTAATTTAGGGATAATGACTTAAAAAGGTAATGCATTTTTCGAGATCGCGATAGACATAAACATCAACAACCGTAAACACTTCGTCAATTATTGTCTCACGTAAGATGTCGTGAGAAAAAACTAAAGAAATCTTTTATAAGTACTTAATGAGTGCAAAACCAAAAATACTTATTTTGAAACATAAAAAATATTAAACATAAAAATATTACTTATTTTGAAACATAAAAAATATTAAACATAAAAATATTAAAGACTAAATATATACAACAATATTAAGGACTAAATGTCTACAAAATGATAAATATATTACTCTGTTAGATCATTTTTCACGGCTTACCTGGAGTAATCGGTCATAAGGACCGAACGTATACATTTTAACAAGTTGAACGAGTAAATATAAACGAAAAAAAAAACTCAGTGATCAAATATATACAGATCGAAAAATATATTACGTTTCAAGTCATTATCCATTTATTTTGTTTTGTTAATTGTCATTATCCATTTATTTTGTTTTGTTAATTTTTTTATAAGTTTGAAAACCAGATTCTAATCCAATTTGATCCAATCCAGTTTCAAAATTGGTTTGGATTTTCAAAACCAAATCTATTTTTTTTTTTTTTAATGCAACATATCATAGTTTAAAAAAAAATTTGAGTGACATGAGAATAATAAAATAGCCCAATGTAAACATGAACAAACAAGAAGCAGCCCAAAAATCTTACTGGCCTTTTAAACCATGACAAGGAAACCCTAGACTAGTTCCACCGCATCGTATAAGAGCCATAAACGTTTTCAGTCGTCTTCTTTTCTTATTTGTGAGATCAGCTACCGCTAGGGTTTTGGTCATCTTCATTTCGAGACATGGTAGAACCCTCATTTCTTTACAGATCTTCTCATTACATCTAATTTGAAATCGTTCGATTTTCAGTACTGATTTTCGTGGTTTTTGTTTTGGAATTACTAATTGAAGGGTAAGGGAACCGGGAGTTTCGGAAAGAGGAGGAACAAGACACACACATTGTGTGTGAGGTGCGGCCGCCGCAGCTTTCACCTTCAAAAGAGCCGCTGCTCTGCGTGTGCCTATCCTGCTGCCCGCGTCAGAAAATGTAAGTCTATCGAACCTAGTCTATTGAACCTTTCAATGTATGTATGCTTTCTTCGATCTACAGTTATTGTTTCTTTGGATTTTAAGAACATGTATTCTCATCAATCCGCGGATCAACTATAAATTTTGTTTAAAACTTTGTTAATGAAATCGGTTTGCGTTTCGATTTTCATCTGTTGTTTATTTGAACTCGTATGATCAACATAGAAGCATCACTGCTATTGCCTTTATCTTGATTTCGACTTTTTTTCGTTTTCTAGTTGGTTCTAGTTGATGCTAAATTGTAGTCACAAAATTAGCAAGTAGATATTTCTCCATTATAACTTGCACAAATCGTATTAGTTTTTTTGATTGCTCGCTCCCTAAACTCTTGATTGCATCGCCAAACAAAAATCCATTGCACAGTGATGCAAATCAATCCCTAGTTTTGATATGATTGTTCTCTCTTATTCCGTTTCTTCCTTTATACTGGCTTATTTATCTTGGTGTGAAGTAAATAAGACACACCCGTTATCATAGTTTGATCCATATCAACCTTATATAGTTTGAAAAACATGATAAAACTGTTATTTGATAAATCAAATTGGAGTCTAATCTTGAAAAATTAGAAGTCTTGATTGATTTGCACATGTCTTATTGGATACAGACAACTGGAGTGTGAAGGCAATCAGAAGGAAGACAACAGGAACTGGAAGGATGAGGTACCTTCGTAATGTTCCACGTAGGTTCAAGAGCAACTTTAGAGAAGGTAAAAACTTGTTTTTATGCCATAAAGATTTGTAATTTGATCTGTTTTTGGATATTGATTTTGTTTTTATGAATGATGTTGGTTAAACAGGGACTCAAGCAACCCCAAGGAGCAAGGGAGCTGTTGCCAGTGCTTAGATTCAAATGAAGATTTTCATGTATTTTAGTATCTGAACAACAAGTTTTGGATTTTGATGATGTTTGTTTGCTTATGAGATTTTTACTTTTGATATGGAAAAGAAAGCAGCTACTTTCTATTTGATTCAAACTTGTTATGCCTATGGTTTGGTTAAATTTTTACGTGTGTTTGATCTCATTCTGATGTTTGGTTGTTTGTATTATAACTTAGAGTATGAACTCCTTAATCAGCGACTGTGTGGAATTTTTTTCCTACGTGGCAAATCAACAAAAAAAACTACTTTAACCTTTTCCTATCACTGAGTTAATCGCTTATGATCCTGTGTTTTTGGTGAATCTTCGTGTTTTGAAAGATTTTTGAGAATTCAGTTACAATCTTGTGTTCTTTAAAGTCGTTTTTGTTTTAAAGTTAAAGTAATTTATTTATTTTTCTCGTTCAAAAGATCAACAATCTTACTAAACAGCAATAAATCATTAAGACGTTTGAATCATTTAGTTTCTACTAAAGACTAAGAGCCAAACAAGTGCGGAAAATACTCATTTTGGGCATGTTGATCAATTTTGCAAATGATTGAATAGTTGATTATAAGGAAATAAACTTGTATTTTAGATTGCCATTTTCCTGATTATCCCTAAAATATAAGTTGACCAACAATGCCTAATTTACAATTAAAATTTTGGTAATCAGTTGTGAAGCAAATTGCTCATTGGAGGCTTGACTATCAAGTATCAACATCTACCTCCTTTATCCCGTTTCAACAAGATTCTTTCGATATGTTGTTGCATTGTAAAAATTTGTGGTACATATTTTATTAAAAAAAATAAAACAAGTTTATTGTAGTAACAATTAAGAAATAAAAATATTATTGCAATAACAAACATTTAACACTATAGTTATAGATAGAAATTATGAATTTTTGGTTTAATGGGAAACAAAAACGGGATTGCATTTTTGTTAAGTTACATTAGTTTGTTTTTCTAAACAAATCAAATGGTGTTTTGGGACATTGTGTTTTGATTGGAATGAAGCTCTTGTTAAGCTACGAAAATTAATATGTTTTGCTATACGATTTCTTTGGATTGTTGTGGGAATTGCTTACCCTGGATATTGTATTTACTTGGACAAACTTGAATAATGCAAATGGATAATATCATTAAAGTCTATATTTGTAAACCAAAACAACAAGTAAATAATTAAAAAAAAAAAAAAAAAAAAAAAAAAAACATGTAATCTAATGATTGAGCCAGTAGTTTCTAAGCTGAGACATGTGCAACAAAATCTCATCCCGACCTTGATTTGTAAGACTGCTGGTCATAATCCAAGGTGGCACTGAATCAAAGTATTTGCTAATCAACTCTTGAAAATCTTGCACGTTTTCTTCCGGATGCTTTCCACCATTCTTTTTCTTTTTCCTCTTGTCACATTTTGTAAATACTATTGTCATTGGCACCTTAAACAAGTTAACAAAAGCGTGTTGTGTTAATAAGAAGAACGATGAGTGATTAATATTTATCTTATGACATGTTTTAATGATGTACCTGATTCTGACCCAGCCAACTTGCATATTCTAGGTCAATCTTTTTGGCAGGAATGCTGGCATCGATGAGAAGGAAGACTGACACCAGTGTTGACCGGTTTAAAAAATAGTCTTTTGTGAACTTGTTCCAATCTTGTTTAAGTTCATGTGGTGCAGATGCATATCTGTCAAAACCATAATCAGTTTCCGTTTCAGTTTCATGTACTTTATCATCATTGATAAGTTGAAACACAACAAAAAGTGATCATATTTTCAGATGTTACTCAGAAAACTCTTACCCGTATCCAGGCAAATCCACCAAGTACCAACTGTCATTAATTCGAAAGTGGTTGATGCATTGTGTTTTCCCTGAAAAACAAATGAACAACACATGAAAACAAGATGCAGTTCTTCTTCTTAGTGTTTAAGTTAGTGGAAATGGCCATGAAGGTATCAGAAGGGGCAATGGATCAGACCCTAATAACTGAAGTTGATCCGGCTGGAGGAGGAAGACAACAAACTAGTAATAGTATATTCATAAAAAAACAACGATTGATGTTTCATTCGGGTATAAATTGTATTTTGCTTGTTTTCTCACTCTCAGAGACATAAAATCAAACACATGGTATGCTCACCTGGCTTCTTTGAAGTAAGCGCGAGCTTTTTCCTCTTAACAATAGAATTAAGCAAAGATGATTTCCCAACATTCGAACGCCCAACGAGGGCAAACTCCGGCGACCCATCAGACGGACACGCATCAGTTTCAACACTGCTCTTCACGAATTCGGCTGAAACTATCTGAGCATCTCTAGCATATTTGCTGAGGACAATGTTGGAACCTCTCAAGATTCTGGGAGATTTTTCGGAAGATATTTCGGTGTCTGGAGGAATAAAAAGCTTCTCTTGGGCAATCTGTAAGGGGGTTTCTTCTGGAAGTGAAATTTCTTGAAAGGTTTCGAGAGAAGAAGAAGAAGAAGAAGAAGAAGAAGAAGAAGAAGAAGAAGAGGGTATTATTGTGGATGTTGAAGAGAAGTGAGACGGAGAAAGTGTAGCGAAAATTAAGAGGGTTTTGGGTTTAGGAGTAAGGAAGAATCTGGTGAAGAGAGAAGACGAGTGATGATGAATCGGAGCAACAGGGAAATGAGTGAGGAATGCCATTGTTGATTCTTTCTCGAATTTTTCGTTTATCTATCAAGAAAGCCATGGGACATTAAATATCTTTTAAGCACAAATTCATATTTTATATCTTAGGTTAAAACCCAACTGAATGAATATAGAATTAAAAAAATGGTTTATTTTATTTTATTTAATATGTATACATCTTTAACTTGGTAATTGATAGGCATTCACGATTTTTTTTTTTTTTTTTTTAATATTAATCAAGAAATATTTACATAGACATAGCGGGTAAACGAGCAACAAACTGTGTCGCAATCTCTTTTTGGATGATAAAACTATTTCTTTTAAAAACATTTATAGATCTTGGAGTCATAACATAACAATGCATAACCCGTTGGACTCTATTGAGTAGCTCCACAGTTTCTTGCGCAATGAAACCGAAAGTGTCAAATGCAAAGGGTATAAACGTGTGTTGATTTTCTATGCACGCTTTCTCATGTTTCGCCACTTTGCTTGATGCAGCTTTTAAAGCAGCTTGCTCTATCGTGAAACCTCCACTCCCCAAACCCACAAGAGGGGAAACCCCTGTTAGATCCATACATGCATGTTTTCCTCCAGCCCATCCAAATACTAAAACATCAGTTGGTCTAAGTGTTGATCTTCCTTCCAATGGGTCAGTCAGAAAGTTCACAGGTGCCTCTTTCTTGGCAGAAACCCCAGCGCGTCTAAATATGTCAAAAAGAACATCCCTAACCAGATCGTGTCGGTACTTGAAACTCAGGAGCTCTTTACAATGAACTGCATGCTCCCCAAACGAGTCTAAACACGCCTTACGACAAACAGGGCAAGTCTCGTCAGCCGGAAATAAAGGGATCATAAGGCGATACTTGAGGATGGCACGATACTCCACTGGCGACATATGCTGGCCAAGACCGTCAATAGGAATAGCCATAAGAAAATCCTGAGCATGTGGGCCCCTTAAACACTCAAAAATAGCTTTCTGCCTAATCGTCATGTCGAAGTGAACTTCCATGTATTGGACAAATTTACTAAAAAGGACACTCGCCAATGAATGTTGGGCTTTTGGAAGGGCGATGTCCTTATTAGTAAAACCGCTGAAGTCAAAGCCCGAAATCGTATCATGAAGACACGTCAAAGCACAAACATAATCTGAATTCATACCACATATGCCGCTATTTCGTAAGATGTAGTCTTGTAACACTCATGATTGGGTCCGTGAGGCAACAAAAGCATATGAGGAAGCCTCTAATGCTGAGTACAACCCAAAATTTTGTTAAAAGTTCATGAAATATTGTTACATGTTTTATTTTTCTGCTTTTTTTTTCTCTTTTTGCATAATTATATGATTAATATTACTAATACACAAGGTTCTAAAAAGCTAGTCATGGCTCCGCGTCACGACTCCAAGGCTTGCACCTGCCGCCAAACTTTGCCAAAACGCCGACTTAACTCATATATTTGTATAAAAATGAATAATAGTTGAAAATACATATAAAAATATTAATTATATAGAAAATTGCCGCTTTAAGTCACGCCTTACAAACATTATGACTCGCCAAGGCTCGAAAAAGCTTGAAACTTGACATTACCGCTAAGTCACATCTTACGTAATTTAGAACCTTGTTAATACATGCTTCACGGATTTTCATTTAATCTTTTATTGTCAATTTTAATCTTGTTTGTTTTTTATTGAATGTGCAAACAAAGTCAAATAACCAACTTACGAAGATATCTTAATGTAATATTGAGAAAATGGAGAAATCTGAATAATTAATGAAAACTATAACGGTGCAAAAGAATGCCTATAAATAGCAGAAGTGCATGATGCTCGTACCGAAGGTTATAGAGGATCTTTGATGTCAACAATTTTCCTCCTTCTGGTGGAACTATCTAAATTAAAAGTACTAAAATGAAAATATGACAGAAAAGGAAGAAATTTAGATATATGATTGTTAAAGTAATAATGCACAATTCATGAAATTTATAATGGTTGTAGTTGGGTCGATCTCTCATAAATTAGTTGATCTTGTCTTTCACAAGCCATAAATAAATATGGTAGTTGAGTTGAAATAAAGGGAATTTATAGATATAACATCTTGTCAATACCTTACGGACAAGTTTTTGTTAGAAAATATTTCGTTGCGAATTTACAAGACATTTTTAACGAAGGTGATTGTCATTTTGTAATAGAAGACAAAAGTATGGTCATCTTGATGCATTTGACTTCAACATATAATCATTATACCTCCCTCTTATACAAAGTAGTATTAGCTCATCCATATCAGTGCAATCTTACTATCTTTCGATTGTGTCACATCAGCGTTTGCAATTAGTTCTACATCATCGCAATAACAATCATCTTTCAAAAATATCCCACTGCCATGTCAATAACAACTTTTGTAAAACATTCTAATTATTAATAATAAGTAATTATTTGATAATATTAAAAATTTGTTTTAATTTAATTAAAGAATGCCTATAAATAGCAGAAGTGCATGATGCTCGTACCGAAGGTTATAGAGGATCTTTGATGTCAACAATTTTCCTCCTTCTGGTGGAACTATCTAAATTAAAAGTACTAAAATGAAAATATGACAGAAAAGGAAGAAATTTAGATATATGATTGTTAAAGTAATAATGCACAATTCATGAAATTTATAATGGTTGTAGTTGGGTCGATCTCTCATAAATTAGTTGATCTTGTCTTTCACAAGCCATAAATAAATATGGTAGTTGAGTTGAAATAAAGGGAATTTATAGATATAACATCTTGTCAATACCTTACGGACAAGTTTTTGTTAGAAAATATTTCGTTGCGAATTTACAAGACATTTTTAACGAAGGTGATTGTCATTTTGTAATAGAAGACAAAAGTATGGTCATCTTGATGCATTTGACTTCAACATATAATCATTATACCTCCCTCTTATACAAAGTAGTATTAGCTCATCCATATCAGTGCAATCTTACTATCTTTCGATTGTGTCACATCAGCGTTTGCAATTAGTTCTACATCATCGCAATAACAATCATCTTTCAAAAATATCCCACTGCCATGTCAATAACAACTTTTGTAAAACATTCTAATTATTAATAATAAGTAATTATTTGATAATATTAAAAATTTGTTTTAATTTAATTAAAGAATGCCTATAAATAGCAGAAGTGCATGATGCTCGTACCGAAGGTTATAGAGGATCTTTGATGTCAACAATTTTCCTCCTTCTGGTGGAACTATCTAAATTAAAAGTACTAAAATGAAAATATGACAGAAAAGGAAGAAATTTAGATATATGATTGTTAAAGTAATAATGCACAATTCATGAAATTTATAATGGTTGTAGTTGGGTCGATCTCTCATAAATTAGTTGATCTTGTCTTTCACAAGCCATAAATAAATATGGTAGTTGAGTTGAAATAAAGGGAATTTATAGATATAACATCTTGTCAATACCTTACGGACAAGTTTTTGTTAGAAAATATTTCGTTGCGAATTTACAAGACATTTTTAACGAAGGTGATTGTCATTTTGTAATAGAAGACAAAAGTATGGTCATCTTGATGCATTTGACTTCAACATATAATCATTATACCTCCCTCTTATACAAAGTAGTATTAGCTCATCCATATCAGTGCAATCTTACTATCTTTCGATTGTGTCACATCAGCGTTTGCAATTAGTTCTACATCATCGCAATAACAATCATCTTTCAAAAATATCCCACTGCCATGTCAATAACAACTTTTGTAAAACATTCTAATTATTAATAATAAGTAATTATTTGATAATATTAAAAATTTGTTTTAATTTAATTAAAGAATGCCTATAAATAGCAGAAGTGCATGATGCTCGTACCGAAGGTTATAGAGGATCTTTGATGTCAACAATTTTCCTCCTTCTGGTGGAACTATCTAAATTAAAAGTACTAAAATGAAAATATGACAGAAAAGGAAGAAATTTAGATATATGATTGTTAAAGTAATAATGCACAATTCATGAAATTTATAATGGTTGTAGTTGGGTCGATCTCTCATAAATTAGTTGATCTTGTCTTTCACAAGCCATAAATAAATATGGTAGTTGAGTTGAAATAAAGGGAATTTATAGATATAACATCTTGTCAATACCTTACGGACAAGTTTTTGTTAGAAAATATTTCGTTGCGAATTTACAAGACATTTTTAACGAAGGTGATTGTCATTTTGTAATAGAAGACAAAAGTATGGTCATCTTGATGCATTTGACTTCAACATATAATCATTATACCTCCCTCTTATACAAAGTAGTATTAGCTCATCCATATCAGTGCAATCTTACTATCTTTCGATTGTGTCACATCAGCGTTTGCAATTAGTTCTACATCATCGCAATAACAATCATCTTTCAAAAATATCCCACTGCCATGTCAATAACAACTTTTGTAAAACATTCTAATTATTAATAATAAGTAATTATTTGATAATATTAAAAATTTGTTTTAATTTAATTAAAGAATGCCTATAAATAGCAGAAGTGCATGATGCTCGTACCGAAGGTTATAGAGGATCTTTGATGTCAACAATTTTCCTCCTTCTGGTGGAACTATCTAAATTAAAAGTACTAAAATGAAAATATGACAGAAAAGGAAGAAATTTAGATATATGATTGTTAAAGTAATAATGCACAATTCATGAAATTTATAATGGTTGTAGTTGGGTCGATCTCTCATAAATTAGTTGATCTTGTCTTTCACAAGCCATAAATAAATATGGTAGTTGAGTTGAAATAAAGGGAATTTATAGATATAACATCTTGTCAATACCTTACGGACAAGTTTTTGTTAGAAAATATTTCGTTGCGAATTTACAAGACATTTTTAACGAAGGTGATTGTCATTTTGTAATAGAAGACAAAAGTATGGTCATCTTGATGCATTTGACTTCAACATATAATCATTATACCTCCCTCTTATACAAAGTAGTATTAGCTCATCCATATCAGTGCAATCTTACTATCTTTCGATTGTGTCACATCAGCG